CACATAGGTAGCTAAGATTGATTGCAATGACAGCTTGAATGGTAGTTGACAAAAATTGGTAGGCACAATACAGCAGAAACAATATAAGATTGATTGCAATGACAGCTAGAATGGTAGTTGACAAAAATTTGTAGTCACAATACAGCATATTTTTTTTTTTTTTTTTTTTTTTTTTTTTGAGATATATACAAGAGTTGTTACATTCTTGTACAGCCACTAGTACGCGTAGCATTTCGGGCAAGTCCTTAATCCTATGGTCCCTGGAATACGATCCCCTGCCGCGAAGAATCGTTTTTTCATCCAAGTACACATTTTACTGTTGTGTTAAACAGAGGCTACAGTTAAGGAATTGCGCCCAGTAAATCCTCCCCGGCCAGGATATGAACCCATGACATAGCGCTCGCAAAACGCCAGGCGAGTATCTTACCACTACACCACGGAGACTGTAAAATATGGCTAGCACATAAAAGAAGACAGCAATGAACACAATGATAAGGTTGTTTGATACTACATAAAAATTAGGAGATTGGGTAACACTAGGTACAGAGCAAATTTAAAGCTCAGTGTAGGAAACTAAGTAGATGAAATTAGGTACTTTTTGGTTTTGCTTTTAAATAAGGCAAAAGTTTTACAATTTTTCAATTCACTAGGGAGTGAGTTCCATAGACTAGGTCCCTTAATTTGCATAGAGTGTTTACACAGATTAAGCTTGACCCTGGGGATATCAAAGAGATATTTATTTCTGGTGTGGTGATAATGGGTCCTATTACATCTGTCCAGGGAGAGTTTCAGAGCATGGTTTGCATTTAAGAACAGGGTTTTGTAAATGTAGTTGACACAAGAGAATGTGTGGAGGGAGTTAATATTTAGCAAGTTTAGGGATTTAAACAAGGGAGCTGAGTGTTGTCTGAAACCAGAGTTAGTTATTATTCTGATAGCAGATTTTTGCTGTGTGATGATGGGCTTAAGGTGGTTTGCAGTGGTAGACCCCCATGCACAGATACCATAATTAAGATAGGGGTAGATTAGTGCATAATATAGTGAGAGTAGAGCAGAATTAGGAACATAATATCTGATTTTGGAGAGTATACCAACTGTCTTAGAGACTTTCTTAGTTATGTGTTGAATGTGGGTACTGCAGTTGAGTCTCTTGTCTAAGAATAGGCCAAGAAACTTGCCATCATTTTTATTACTGATGTTAATGTTGTCTATCTGTAGCTGAATTGCATTTGATGATTTGCTTCCAAATAAGATGTAGTAAGTCTTTTCGATGTTTAATGTTAGTTTGTTCGTTGACATCCATAAGTGGACTTTTTTTAATTCATTATTCACAACATTATTTAGTGTATGTGGGTTGAGGTCTGAATAGATAAGGGTAGTATCGTCAGCAAACAATATAGGTTTGAGAATATTAGAGACATTAGGCAGATCGTTTATATATATAAGAAATAGAAGAGGTCCTAAGATACTGCCCTGTGGCACTCCAACGGTAATTGGTAGAGTGGAAGAAGTTGTATCATTGATGGTTACATATTGGTGTCTGTCACTAAGATAGGATCGTAGGTAGTTCTCTAACTACCAGGTACTTATTTACTGTTAGATGAACAAATGAATCAGCAGAAAGAAAATGATAGCCAAACATCTCTGACCTGCTGCAGGAATTGAACCCAGAACTTTTCAGTTTATGAACTGACTGCATTGATCATTGTATTACAGGACCCTCCATTTATTTCATTTTATGAATATACAGGACAGTATATACAAAATGTATAATGGGTCGTGAAAGTACATTTTTGCCAAGCTACTAACATGCATAGCATTTCAGGTAGGTCCTAAAGCTAACAGAATTTACAAAGAATGGCCACTAGCTTCCCAGATTCCAACTTTGTGACTCCTAAATTCATGAAGCAAAACGTGTTTAAAAACTCAACACATCCTCATGAATCCAAAATAGTTCTGCGACAAACCAAAACATGGTAACAAGGAATGTAGGCAAGAAATTCACAGTTCATCATTCTAGATCAAAGTAAATCTAGAATGCAAAAATCTATATATGCAGCCATTCAAGGGTTCAATCCAACTGATAAACTATACAAAAAGGGGGGTTAAAAAAAAAAAATAACTTCGTCTCAGATATACTGTATACTTAGATAAAGCATTAGGAATATTTAACTCTCACATATCTATAAAGTTTCCTCTATAAAGTTATATTTTCTACATCTTTAGAGGAGGAGTATATAACATGCATTGCAAATTCCATACAAGACAAAAATTAAACCAGATTTATGCATAATATCCACATTAACCAGTAATATTTTCCATGAAAGACTAAAGTTGATAATATGAAAAGCATCTTTCTAAGATCAACCAACTACTAAAGATTCCACCATGTCATAAAACAGGATCATGTACACTCACTATTATCACAGTTGACTACCAAGAGAGAGCTCTCCCTGTACCGACCACTACAACTTGGCAGCCCCCAACACACCTCTGGGTTTCCCTCACGTTAGTCACCTAACATGCTGCCATTAAAAACAAAGTAACAGAAAATGTGGGGGCCATAAGGAAGGGAACAGCAGCAGCCAAATCTGATATGAAAGGCTTTTTTCATATAAAGTGTAGTTTTTTCTGAGCTATTCCATTAAGCTACTCTTTAACCCTTTAACTGCGCCGCCTCCAAATATGACACCCCCCTCAGTACGCACAAAATAAATTCTCTTGAAAAAATTCTTTTGTTTTTTAAAGTGTCAAAAACCCTTCCCTCAGTATGGGTATGTAAAAAAAAATCGAAATTGTACTTACTTTGGCTGCTATGGGTTCCATAAGTTGGCGCGTGACGTCATCATTCCCCGTTCACCCGTGATGTACGCTCCCGGGGCCAGTAGGGCGCCCGAGACGGGGCACGCGAGTTGCCGCGAATTTATTTTTGTTCATTTTTTGCGCACAGTTCCAAATAGATTTTATTTGTTTTTACGTGCTAATCCTATGTATAATGAACACGTACACTATATTATGGCAGTAAAACATCCGTACTGTCCGAGTACACTGTGTTACATACATGACACTTGTGTACACATATGTTGCACATATTTACCAAGTATCATGCTAATTTATGTATATATATACAATCTATTTACAGACTATACACTGTCACACACTATATACATTCACCATCAACACATTCAGAACACCACGAGTGGGAGCAGCCACACCCAGCCAGCCCTCACTCACTCCTCCAACATTGTATCTGCCAACATTGCTCCTCCCATCATACAGTTATTCACACCAATGTTTCATGTTCATTTATGTATATTTACAACATATGTACACACTATACACTGTCACACACTATATACATTCACCATCAACACACTCAGAACATCGCGAGTGTGAGCAGCCACACCCAGGCAGCCCTCCCTCACACCAACATCTTGCTCGCCAACATTGCTCCCCCCACCATACTGTTATTGTTTTTATTACACTATTTACACATGTTATATATACCTATCTACATGTTTTATTTACCAGAACTATGCAAGTAAGCCGGTATTGTGTCCAAACAGTACAGTGGCCACCATACACTGCATGAGAAATCACTCAGCAGACAGCAGAAGACGCTACAATTACGACGTCACCTCCCTCACCAAAATAGCTCCACTCAACATACTTCTGTTGCTGTTATTACACTATACACACACACTGTATATACCCATTTACATGTGTGTTCCCCATAGCGAACCACGAAGCTAGTATGGTGAGCAAAACAAGAGTGGTTGCCACACTGTGAGGCTACCTCAATTCTCCCCCTTCCTCACCACAATTCCTCCTTCCACAATAATACGCACAACGCTAATTATACCCACAATCCTGGTCACTAATTCCTGTAAATGAATAATTGACCACAAGTTTATTTTGAAAAGGAACCTAAGAAGTCGTTTGAAGATTCCTAGATGGACGAAATAATGCTGTGGTACTGTGGCCAGCGCTGTGAACATTGTGAACAGCATTGAATCACTGATATTTGAACGTTGTACCCAGTCATTATCACACTCAGGCTCTTCTATAATACTATCATGGCTAAATAATACAGGTTATATATATATTTTGACATTATTAGGCGATGCTGTGGTCATACGCCGAACAGCAGTGCTGTGCGTGCCAGCCTTGGTTGCTCACTCACTACTGAGGCTCTCACACCCGGGAATGCGGACCATAATTTTTTTTAAAAAATGGCGTCTGTTTACAAGAGCCCTGAGGAAGCCGATTTGAACCCCATGTAGCCGCAGGAGTTTTGAATGGTACGTGAAAAATACAAATACCTAGAGGCGCGTAGCGCACCCCAGACGTGAGCCTGCAGGGGCGTTGCGCAGTTAAAGGGTTAAGGTAACAATATCTACCAGATACACAAAAGAAGAAATACATAGGATGACTCCTGTGCTGCCAAAAATCACTTGAGGGGATGTATGGGTGTGTACGTGTAACTACCTAAATGTGTCTGTACTCATCTAGTTGGGCTTGCGGGGATTGAGCTAAGGCTCTTTGGTCCCACCTCTCAACTGTCAATCAACTGGTGTACAGATTCCTGACCCTACTGGACTATATCATATCTACATTTAAAACTGTGTATGGAGTCTGCCTCCACCACATCACTTCCTAGTGCATTTCATATGTTAACTACTCTGACACTGAAAAAGTTCTTTCTAACAACCCTGAGGCTTATTTGGGTACTAAGTTTCCACCTATTTCCCCTTGTTCGAATACCACCCGTGTTGTGTGTGTTTGTCTCCAAGACTGAACCTTTACTTTTATATGTATCATTGCCTATTTTGCTAATTTTTAGAGAATTTTTTAAAAGCTCTTAACTTTGCTACCATTGAAGTAACCAAAGTGACTATATAATTCTAGGTAGAAAGCCATATCATTATTTATTGAAACTGAACATATATTGCAAAAAATCACATTGAAAATCAGTAATTCAACAGATGTACTCTACATACCTGGAAATCAAACAGAGGAAAAGGGCAGACCAGGAAAGGTATGCCAATGAATGCCATGGAGGTATACTTAGTGTTGATGAGGTGCTTGTACAGGGGCTTGACAATATTGTCTTCCACAGTAATGCCACACTCCTTTGACAAAAATGGGAATGAAAACGTATATCCTAGAATAAAAATGGAAAAAGAATGAATTAGTAGAATGTACATCTTATTTATTAGTAATTTATACATTATTCATGCCTCATTGTTTCCACTGTGTCTCAGCCCCATCCACTTCTGCTTCTTTGTTACCAAAATTAAATAAGATTAGGTTGGTTGATCAAGTGAATATATCACTGCAAAGAATTACTGTACACAGAAACACAAGATAGAAACACGACAGAAATACGACATTGTTACAATGTTCAAACAAGTTTTAACATCTAACAAATTGTAACAACGTTCTAAGACATAATAAAAATGTTATAACAAGATGTAACAACTTTATTACAAGTTGTAACAAGCGAAAAATAGGGACAGTTACGTTGTGTGTTTGCAGGGTTGAGGCCAAAGGTGGCTAAACGACTGCTAGCACATCAGGATATCTGAGGTGGTGGGCGGCCGGCCTGCCTGAGCCGATATTGGAAGGGTGGGTTATGCTAACGAACAAGAGTACTAGTTAAGGACAGGGTTGCTGGTTTGTTTTATTTCAGCAGGAGTTTCTTTGTTCTTTCTGGCTGTCGGTAGTAATTTTACCGCCTAGTTTTTTTTTGGTTCGTCTATCTTTCTGGGTACCCACCTCGGTCGATGACGGAATACAACATACTTTTAATGTAAAGTGCTCATACGCCATTGCTCCCTGAGGGGACCAGGTTCTGCCTCATGGTTCCCGGTAGGCATAAGAACTCCTGTGACTGACGACCACAAACTAAAAACTCACACATCAGTTCAGATAGCTTCAGAAAAATCAAGTCCAAGCGCAGTTAAAAGCTCTGTACCTCAAGGCACAGTTCTTGCACCACTGCTGTTCCTTATTCTCATATCAGATATAGATAAAAATACAAGTCACAGCTTTGTGTCATCCTTTGCAGATGACAAAAATCAGCATGAAAATTACCTCTGCTGAAGACATTGAAAAATTACAAGCAGATATCAACAAAGTTTTCGATTGGGCAGCGGAAAATAACTTGATGTTTAACAGTGATAAAGTCCAGGTACTGTACTCAGGTACGGCAAAAATGAGGACCTGAAACATAATACAGGGTACAAAACACAATCGAATCTGCCCATAATAGGTAAACAGCATGTCAAGGATTTGGGAATAATGATGTCCGACGATCTAATGTTTAGGGAGCATAACCAAGCAAATATTGTGTCAGCAAGAAAAATGATAGGATGGATTACGAGAACTTTCAAATCCAGGGATCCCATCACGATGGTTGTACTCCTCAAGTCACTGGTGTTGTCCCGTCTCGAGTACTGCTCAGTACTCACTTTTTCCTTCAGAGCAGGAGAGATTGCTGAAATTGAGGGAATACAGAGAACATATACGGCACGCATAGACGCAATAAAGCACCTAAATTATTGGGATTGTCTCAAAGCTCTCCAAATGTACTCACTAGAAAGGAGATGAGAGAGATACCAGATAATATACACATGGAAAATACTGGAAGGCCAGGTCCCTAATCTACACAGTAAAATAACAACATACTGGAGTGAACGATATGGAAGAAAATGCAGAATAGAACCAGTGAAGAGCAGAGGTGCCATAGGCACAATCAGAGAACACTGTATAAACATTAGAGGTCCGTGGCTGTTCAACGTCCTCCCAGCGAGTATAAGAAATATTGCCGGAACAACCGTGGACATCTTCAAGAGAAAACTAGACTGTTTTCTAAAAGACGTTCCGGACCAACCAGGTATGTGGGCCTGCGGGCCGCACCAAGCAACAGCCTGGTGGACCAAACTCTCACAAGTCAAGTCTGGCCTCGGGCCGGACTTGGGGAGTAGAAGAACTCCCAGAACCCCATCAACCAGGTATCAACCAGGAGCCGACAGGGCTCTCTCAGAAAATCACAAAACATTGAATATAAATTTAGAGAGCCACAGAAAACAGAATAATATTTCCATATTTTTGTCTCTAAGAACACTGAAAAACACGAAACCATTCCAATACTGTACTTTATATTCTTCTGTCCACCCCCCTCCACTCCTTCCCAACAAAGTTGACATAGTAATAATAATAATAATTTATTTACAAGAAGGTACAATGGGTTTGTGAGATTACATAAGATTGGTATTTTTATGTTCTTGCAAAGCCACTAACACACACAGCGTTTTAGGCAGGTACAGTACTTAATCTAACAAGTCATATATTAAAGTATATTTGATATCACATATTAAAATAAAACTCGGGTACAGAAAGGGACAATGTGTTAAAGAACGTAAGCAGTGGAAACGAGTATGAAAAACATGTGGTTAAACACAGAATGTGTGATGGGTATAGTAATGAAGAAGTAAATGATAGGTTTGGAATAAGAGAAAGGAGCGAGTGACTGAAAACAGATGATTTTCCACCTGTAGAATTATAAACCCATGGAACCCCCTATTTACCAAAGCCGTAAATACTAAAAACACAACTGAATTTTTTAAGTCCAGCTTGAAGAAATCATCAGGACAAGTATGGGGACCTTTGACAAGCTGCCAGCATCCTGTTCTTGGTGAGCCCACTCTAGTGTTAGTGGTGTACCCATTCTGGTAAATTCAGGAAACAGTGTGGTGGGGAGGGTGACGTGCAATACACTTAAGTGGTATGGACATTGGTAGCATGACAAAGCATCATTTAACAAGATGTATAATGGTGAAATAAGGGGACAATATGGTAGAGGCACATGGAGAGTGCTTGGGGAAGGCAGAGCAGAAGAATACATGAAAGAAAGGGAGAGATGTTAGGACATCATGACTATAGATATTAATGCACAAATGAACAGTGGTATTGCTTGGAAATATCCTTCTAAATATAATTTGCACAACGTGAGAGTGAGGTGTTTCACATAAAATATATACTGGTATTATAAATGTGTCTTTTCTTACCAGTACAATACACGATAACATCAGCCTCAGCAGAGGACCCATCTCCAAACACAAAACCATTTTCCAAGGCAGACACCACACCACGAACTTGACGAACATTGGGTGGCAACTCTGATGGTACTGGTGTTGGAAGGTTGTGTGACAGTATCACCTGAAAATCACAAATAATTTTTAGATTATCTATTACTATTTGGTATAAGAGTAATTAATAAAGAATGATTATGATTGCATTGGCACCATGCTGTGGTGAAGAGCAGCATGAAAATAAGGCATACAGTGAGGAATATACATGTCTTACTACAACTCCACTACTACAATACTTGTAATAATGTTGCTACAACAGTTGCAGCTGCAACCACCAGCATGGCCACAACACCACCTGCTACCATTTCTATAAGCACACAAAGCAGTACTTAGTGTCATGTATTGTATATTTACTGTGTCTGACCTGTAGCAAGTATCTATAGGCTTTCTACAACTGTGGCATGACTGGGTACGAGGCTTTCAAAGTGAAAACTTGATTCATAAGGGGTTGACAATAGCTTGCAACTTCTGTTCTGGAAAGATTTGTAATAATTTCTGGAAAAGGGTTAAAAAGTGTATGGACCTCTGATACTCATACAATGTTCTCCAATTGTACTTGTGGCCATCTTATGCTTCATTGGGTCTATTCTACACTTCTGATCTTATTTTTTACTATGGTAAGATATTTTATTGTGCAGATTTGAGACTGGACCTCTGAGTATCTTCAGTTAACATATTGATTTTATGAACTCACTCTCATCTCTGCCCAGAGGGGCCAGTACAACTGGCAAGAGAGATCAGGAACTAAGACTGAGCCAGCCACACGAAAGACCATACAAATTACACACCAAACCTACCGTCTAGTGAAAAAACAAAAAAACAGGGATTAAAGCTAGCAGTGGCAGCTACTAGAAACCCTGCTAAGGTGTATGGAACATAAGCTGACTCTGAACTAGTAGCATTCTACCACCACTTCACTCGAGTGAAAAAGCAATGTGCAGAGTAGGTACATCCTCTATCAATACCTACAATCATAAGCAAGGTGTAGTAAACATAACATACGCTACCTACTAATGCATCCTGGCCATTGCTCATGAAGTTAAGATTAGCTCTACACTATGTGGAGGATCAATTATAACTCTACAGTTGAGATGGAGCAAATTTGCATCCATAATGCATAGGTCAATGATGCCACATCAATAAAAATGCATGTTGCTAAACATGAGGGTCCTGGTAGTACAGGCAGGTTCGTTCTCGACACACTTACCCCCCACCTAAAACCCTTATGAAATTGGTTCCCGAACGCACCAGGGATGAGAACCCTAACACGCAAGGGGTACTACTCACAGGGTGCCTAGGAAAGGAGGCCCTAAGTGCATGCAGCCCTGGTACTCTTGAAGTCACCTGGTAACAACACATAACAACATCGCAGAGGACTTTACGAAGGCAAACACTGCTTGGAAAGCGAGGCCAGAGAAGACGTCCACACCGGTTTGTATAAGCTGATGAACTGGGGCTGAGTAGCCAGCACAGTGGGTCCAGGGGCTCCCCCCTTCCCCTTCAAGGGGGGGGGGGGGAGATGTGCAGAAGAGTAATGCAACGACATGGGGTGACATTTGCTTGTTTGCTTGTTTCCTTGGGAATTGAGGGAGTTCTACTTCTCTGTTCAGTTTTTGGTTGTAATTTTCTTACCATGTGGGGGTCTGTTTTGTTATGCCTATCTTTCTTGGTGCCTAACCCGTCAATGGTAGATAAGGTTAATCCCCCCCCCCCCATCCAACAGGGGCCATTGCTCCCTGTGCCTCTCGAAGGGGGCCACGTTCTGGCTACAGGTCCCCGGTAGGCAGAACTTCATATACTAATGCCCCGGTCTAATGATTCGCATATTAGCCTGATAGCTCCAAAGAGCCTCTGGGCCCCACAGAAAAACGAAAAAATAGCACGCAAGCTTAGCTTATGGTAACTATCTCTATACAGTTTGTCTGTTTAAAAAAAAAAAAGGAAAGAATTTTTATATCTAAATCAAAGATTTTTAAAATCTTGATTTAAATCAAACAACCCTGGCATAAATGTTGCAAAGCCACAGAGGGGATCACCCAAGAAACTGTTGTGTTTACTGAAATGTAACAAGCATTATTCAAATAAATATTCCATTACCATGTATTCTGTATTTATTTATTTACCTCTTTTGCCACTGTAGAAAGCTCTATTGCAATATCCAAGCCAGATGCTGCAGCCCCTAATATCACTACAGTTGCTCCTTTGTATGAAGATGGCTCCCGGTAGTCATGGCTATGACTCTGGCGGCCCTTGAACTTCTCAATGTCTTCGATTTGTGGTAAACGTGGGACAGAGTAATGTCTGAAACAAAGCAAAATGGGTAAACACCTTTAAGTTATAAAATATTTTCATTATAAGAATTCAGCAGCTCTAACAACTTTGAATATAATACATTTCATTTGTGCATTGTACGCCAGTCGAAAACAATAATAATATCTTATTTAGGAAAAAGTACATACAGTGGTACCTCAACTTATGAATTTCATCCGTTCCCAGAGACGGTTCAAAAGCCCAAAAATCACAACCCCGAAACGAATTTTCCCATAAGAAATACAGTAATGTAAATTAAAATAATGCGTTTCATACTCCCAAAAATATTAGCTTCATAATAGATTTCATACCTAATTCTCCCAAATATTTAGTACTACAGTATGTACATGTTATTGCTTACGTTTAATGATGACTCTTGTTGGCGTATGGAAGACGGTGAGGAGGGGGGAGGAGGAGAGGTGTTAGTGTTTGGAAGGGAAATCCCCTTCCATTATAACATCAGGCAGTGATGACTTCTCTGGGGTACTCTCTCTCCTACGTTTTGCCTACATACCACTAGGTATAGGGTGCCTACCTTTCTGGGTGCCTGTCCTAGTCAATGGCAGACATAGAATGTTCCCAACCACAGGGAGGGTTTCAATAGGCCATTGCTTCTCGTGCCTCTTTTGAGGGGGGCCAGGTTCTGGCTCGTGGTCCCCGGTAGGCTAGAACTCCAAGCATTTTGACTGATGCCAGAAAGTTATACATCTCCATTCAGCCTGGATAGCTCTGGGGAGCCGACGGGGCTCCCTCCAGAAAGTGCAATTTTGCATTCTCCAAACTAGTAAAGAGCAAGGGGCTAACTGTACCATATTTGTCAAAACAATACCAAGTCAGCATGGCTATAATGTACAGTAAACTATTAATGACTATATATTCAATTAAAAGGTGATGTATTAAAATGAAACATATGGACTAGTCTATGAACAACAGAAAATCTTAGAACTGTCTAAACAAGATTATCTATATACTACACTGTATCATATATCACAAAACAATGTTTTATCGAGTAAAAAAAAAGTCTATGAAAAGAAAATTTCCTTACCCGTTACAGACAAAAATTGCATCAACAGTGGTAGTAGTTATCTCCTCCGATTCTAGGCATCTTACACGCACATCCCAGGCTGGAGGTCCTTCACCCTTCATCACAGGCTTTACTTCTTCCACATAATGGCCAAACTGAAAGTTATACACTGTACATAACATTTTAAATTTGACCTTTTGAAGAAATTTTCCAGATTGACATCCTCCAAATTATTCAGTACTTTAAAGGTTTCGATGAGATCCATCCTGTCATGCCTGGTTTGCAGTACTGTATTGTTAGCCCAGTGGTCCTTAACTATTCCCGATACGTGAGATGACTATGCTCCGGTATGATTTTTGTTGCCCGATGTTGCACCTTCTCTAGAGCAGCTATGTCTTTCTGAAAATGAGGTCTCTATGCCTGGATGCAATAATCCAGGTGGGAGTGCACCAGAGACTTATTCAATTGAACGACTACATTCTTTTTCTTGAAGGTAAAGATACGGTTGATTATTCTCAGGGTTGATAATTATTGATTATTGAAAGGTTGTATGGTTGATTATTAGACGCTTTTTTTACTGCTGCTCCCATTTGTTGTGCAACTTTTAGTGAATGATGGATTCTGACTCCAAGGTCCTTTTCTTCATTTATCTGTTGTAAGGTAGTGCTGTCAATTTGGTAATTGTGAGGTGGATTGTTGTGCCCCACATGTAAGGTCTTGCATTTATTGATAAGTTTATAACCGTATAGGTGAAAAAGCATCTCCTTTTCTCAGTCATTTATTTATGGCACTGTAACAAATTATATAACTACTTCACATCTACCTCCCTAATGAATTGAAAAAACTGAATGTCCAACTTTTGCCTTATTTAAAAATAAAACCAAAAAGTACCTAATTTCATCTTCATAGTTTTCTACCTAGTGCTTTATCTCGCACTCTATCTAGTGCTACCCAATCCCCCAATATTTGTACCTAAGCCATATTACTTTACCACTGTAATCTTATATATCATCTGATATCATTGTTGTTGTATTGAGTACATATTCTACTGCATTATTCCTTGAAATGATCCTCATATGGTGCTGTAGTGAATCAATGTATAACCCTGAAATGTTATCCTAATGTACCTAGCAATCCTTGTTCATTATTGTGTATTGTTATTATTGTGTATTATTCTAATCTGCTTTTGTGTCAAAATTTCTTACAATGTACCTGTAAACATTTTTTTTAAATTTTACTATAATTATTCTACTTAAATTTATCTGTACCTGTAAAGTAAAGCTGTAAAGTACCCATAAACATTTTTTGTCAATTTAACTGTGAATTATCTAATAATTATCTGTTAGTTTAAGGACTTGCCCGAAATGCTATGCGTGCTAGTGGCTTTACAAGAATGTAAAACCAACTTACTTTCTATGTTCTCTGTTAATGCCTAATGTACCTTCTTGTATATACATAAATAAATAAATAAATAAATAAATAAATAAATAAATGTAACTTGCTGAGCTAAACAAATTTTAATATCTATTTATGACATTTAAAACTGATCACAGACTGACCAGAAGGCTAAGTAAAATGAATTATACAGTGTAGCGAGTAGATTATCCCAATAATATACTCGCTCCAAATGCATTGTTAATATTCCTGTCAACCTTTGGAGATGAATGAGGTGAGGCGTTGCCCGGGCAACACGGTGAGGTGTTGCCCGAGCATATAAGCAGCAGAATAGCAAACATTAACCAGAGTCTACTTTCAAGTGTGGTCTAGAGCAGACACTTGCGAGATACTGTACTGACGCTCAGTGCGCTCAACTCACACCAAAGTATCACCTGTGTACTTCTGTATATTCGACCAAATATATATATAGTATCTTAGTGTCTGTGTTTATTTGTCACCATACTTTACGTAACAATAGAACCGTTACAACAGCAAAAAGAAAAGCCTAAACAATTTTGAGATGTTGACCACAGGGTTGCAGCATCTTCAACTCCTGTAGATATAATTTCATAGTGTTGAGGAGAGGAAGCCTGTGAGGCTTATCAAGGCTTCCCTAGAACAACTACTGATCTCCCTCCCAGCGAAGGGGATGCTTACCAACTTTGCCAACACAAAATAAAATTAAATCAAATATATAACCCAATAAGAAATTAATGCACATGTGAGGCTTTATTGCATATTCAAAAGTAAATACTGTACCTTGATGTAAGGATAAAGCTTGTGATGTTCTGCATAACTTTCCAAGTACTTGAGAACTTCAGTGTGATGTATAAATGAAGAGTCGCTAGATTGAAAGGGATAATCAGGAAAAGCCATTACCTCCTTCGGTAGATTTGTCCTACAAACAGATAATTATTATTAAGCATTTGCAATAAGAAATCAAATCTGTATTTAAATACAATGGAGGATTATTCAAATTTTCCATCATCAAATTACTGTACTGCCTCCACACTGTATACAACTTTTTATTTACATTGAATCATAAACCAGATGAGCACACACTCCAAATGTATTTGGTTGTTTCCAAGGATTTGTCCCTTAACCATTCAATTGTGCAAAACAACCAGGGATGTTCTCGCCATTCATTTGTAAAACGTGCGACACAATCACGAAAATTTCTCAAATTATACACTATTGCAAAATATAACTGTAAATGACAGTGAAAAACAAATCAGTGACACTGAAATAAATCTGTATAAATATATCTGAGGCAATTCCTGCCTCGCATTCGCCTTGGGCAACCTCCTCGGGACGTCTTATCCAACAATGCGAGTGAATTGTGACATTATCGCAAAACTTGTTTTCTCCACCACAGCCAAAATAAGCTGCACACAAAAAAAAAATCACATGATCAGGGAACACATTGTAACAATATTCAAACATACAGTATTTGTTTCAGAACTTACTTTTTTCTTCTGTACCAGCTGGATGTCATGTAAAATCACACATACAGTGCATAAGTTAAAATTAAGTTCTTTCTATAAAGGCAGTATATTGCCTTTATTTTTAAATTATTTTTATCACTACAGTACAATCCAAAATGTAAAGCTATATACCATTAGCCACCCATCTAGACTATTGTGCTGTATGCAGACGATGAGTCACAATAACGTGGCTGAAGATATGATGACCAAACCACACACCAGAAGTCATCTTCTGGTGTGTGGAGATGTATGGATGATAAGTCGACTCCGACGATGGAGATGACGCCATCCTGGACCATTATCAAGTCGATTGATAATGGTCCAGGACGGACGAAAATGCCTTTGTCTCCCCATCTTCTGGTGTTTGGCTTGTTATTTCATCTTCTTGTCATCATTTATTTTATTTATTTATTTTTTATTTATTTATATATACAAGAGTTCTTACATTTTTGTACAGCCACTAATATGCGTAACGTTTCGGGCAAATCCTTAATCCTATGTTCCCTGGAAAACGACCCCGCAAAAAATCGTTTAACAACCAGGTACCCATTTTATTGTCGCGTTAAACAGAGGCTACAGTTAAAGATTTGTGCCCAGTAAATCCTCCCCGGCCAGGATACTAAACTAAATATCGAAATCATACTAAAATCTATCTAAAAAATCCAATATCAGATTTATTTGATAGATTAATCTATCTAAAAAATTAATATCACAGTCTATTTGGACTGTCTGATATTTATTTTATAGCCGACCACCTCAGTAAGATGTATCATGACAATCTTACAGATATTTGTCAGACTATTCGCAGTAGCTATCGTGGTAATGGAGTTAGCCAAGCTCAAGTAGCACACTCACACAGCATACAGCCTTACATCTATCAATATACTCAAGCCTGTCACTAGGCCAGGCCAGAACCCGTTCAGGTACATTCCAGGTACAACAGTCTACCTAAAGAAGTCATAAAAGCCAAGACATTGTTACAGTTCAAAATTACTGTACTTTGGAAAAATACTCAGGAATAATAGCGGTGACCTTTGACAAGCCACCAATATCTTGTCTTATTTGAAGTTACTAGAGATGGTGGCCCACGGGTAAATTCAGGTATATTATCCATATATTTGTGTTAACATGAAGAGCATTGTGGTATAATCAGTAGTTGCCTGTTTCAGGGTTTCATCTTATAATGTTTTTTGTTTTAATGTTGGCTGGATCTGTCATTGTAACCATCATTTACTTGATGGTTATGTTAATAAGATTTTAAGGAAGCTCTCATTAACATAACCATCAAGTAAATGATGGTTACAATGACAGATGCAGCCAACATTAAAACAATAAATCATCATAAGATGAAACCCTGAAACAGGCAACTACTGATTATCAGAGTAAAGAAATTGAGCAAACACACAAATCTGAACTTCTACAAATGATAATTTTAATGGCATATACATTCATAAATTACAGTATTCTAATTCCATTCCATGACATATATTTCCAAGTTCAGTAATTATGATGTACTGTATAGCACTTCAATATCTATGATACCAGATACTCGTTTTATCAGAGCAGATGCTAAATAAGGCAGACTATCTACCAAGGTAACACTTGGCCATAAAGCACTTCTGAATTTCCAAACCACTATAAAACCCACTTCACTATCTCGTCTTATCTGTTATGACCAGTCAGTTTATCCAATTTGGTCTTTATCAAAGTACAAGTTGATAGAAGTACAAATTTCCCAATAATCAGTTATAATTTTTTTTAACTCTCAATTACTTTGAAAAACCCAGAGTATTAAATAATGTTTTATGAGGCAAAATACAGTAAATACAAACTGTCAAGACATATTTTGAATACAAATGCATGATTAAATACAGTTTCCCAGGCCGGCATACACAAGGATACAGTATGTTTTACAGGGAGAACAGGGTGTTGATAAGTATATAGGATGTGATGGTGACAGTAGAGGATGCTGGTGGCAGTGGTGGCATGGGAGGCAATAAGGGGTGGTGGTGATTCCTCCAGCTCAATATCTCTTTGACTGTGCCCATTCTGTTTTTCTGTCATTCAGATACTCCCTAACCTAGTTCAGTGTCTTTTCAGTTATCCCAGTTTGTTTTTCCATCTTGTACACCAGTCTTTCATGAGAAACTGTATCAAATGTTTTCGAGAATCTAGGAAAAAAACTGTTAATCCTACCTTTTTTTCTTTAAGTATTTAGTAACTTTTTCATAAAAAAAATTCCAATTTGTCAGACAACCTTTCCCCACTAAATCTATGCTGCCCTTCCATTACAATGCTTATTCTCTCCGGGCACCCCATTATTCTCCTCCTGATTACTTTCTCCAGCACATTACAAGAAATGTATGTACAGTAATTATAGTAATAATAATCATATACAGTACTGCATTTAAAAAGAAATATATATACACTAGTTATACCAAATATTTCATTGTATGGATGCAGTACATGGTACTGCAGTACTTCTGTTTTTCTGAGAAGGCTCTAAGTACCTTCCTGACCATGGAGTGCTACTGATGGCTCCAACAGAAAACGGCATTCTCATTACAAAGCTTCATTTTTGTACAAGGCCGCCAATCACACACACAGCATTTCAAGCAATGTGACTGGTTAATAATTTAATAATTTCTGTCCTTTTTTTTTTTTAATATTGTGACTACAGTATGTTTGCCTTTTTCCAGATTTCTGGGAGATCTTGTGTCTAGTGATTTACTGAAAAGCCTAATTAGGAATAAAATACCTTTACAGCCCCCTTCAGCATTCACGATATATTCAGCCACGTCCTATTTCATATAGTTCCTGCAGGTGTTTTCTTTACTTCACCTTCAGTGACTACATTACCATCTAATGTTACTTCTGGTTAACCAGTCTCTCCCACTTTTGATTTGCTCAGTTTCTTACTTTCCTGATGTTCACGTTCAAGTTCTTTTACATATGTGGTCTTCCAGGTTGAATATAGTACAGAGATGGTGCACAGTATTAAGCTGACATAAGTAATACTCAGATAGTGCAAGTACAACATTCAACTCTCACAGTGTATTACGCGATACAGTGCCTGCCAACACCCTAGTGTGGATGACCGTCTCATAAAACTTGGATTCTTGCACCATATGGTGCTTTACAAACTAAAAGTACAACATGTCTGGTAATACTTCTAGTTGAGCTATGTTTGAGCTCATCATGGTTCAGTTCGTAGTGCCTGGAGAGTCCAGGAATAAAAATTTCTTCCCATTGCTTAGCCTCATTATTTTCTCAAATTAACAATATGCTCCAACCATCCAGGTTATTTTATTAGCCTGTAACAAGAGAATACAGTACCTATCAGAAAATATGAGCACAGAAGGTTCAAGATTTGCATAACATGGCAAGTATCTAGACAAGGACTTTAACAACTTTCCTAAATGGAGCTCCAATCATTGTTTCTTCAAGAAGTTTTGTATTCAGACATGCCACTGCCACTTCTCAACAATACACATTAAAGATAATGATAGCAAGAACATAATTTTATTATTAGCACCAATGAGTGATGATGACTTTGTACTTCACTGATATTAAGAACTATCAGTATTTTTATGGCCTTGCTCTCTGGGAATTCATCTCCAGGAGGGAGGGACAGATAAAACAGTAACCAATTCTAGGCGGTCTTTGAGGACCTGCGTAAGGCTTTTGACACTATCAACCACCAAAACCTTCTTCTTAAATTACATCATAATGGAGTCAGAGGTCACTCCCTGCAATACCTCAAATCTTACCTTACTGACAGGCCCCAGTATGTTTCTGTGAATAATTCAATTTCTCCCACCCTACCCATCAACATTGGTGTTCCTCAGGGCAGCATACTTGGCCCTCTCCTCTTTCTCATCTAAAATAATGACCTTCCAAATGCCTCCCAACACCTCAAACCAATTCTATTTGCTGACGACACAACCTTCATTAACTCCAGTCCTGACCTCCTTGCTCTAAATGTCACAGTGAATACTGAGCTAAATAAAATCCATCTTTGGCTAACTGCCAACAAGCTCACCCTCAACATTGACAAAACTTTCTATATTCTGTTTGGCAATAAATCCTCTAATCAAATAAATCTCAGGATAAACAATACCCAAATTTGTAACAAAATAGATGGCAAATTCCTTGGCGTTCTCACTGAGCACAAGCTGAATTTCCAGGGACACATTCTAAATACCTGTACTGTATATCAAAAAAGTTTCAAAAGCTTTTGGCATTCTTTCTAAGATCAGATATTATGTACCTCGCCCTGCCCTAGTGACGTTCTATTACTCCCTCATCTATCCATATCTCAACTATGGTATTTGTGTTTGGGGGTTCTACTACCCAAAATCATTTACGTCCTCTAATTACTCAACACAAAGCTGCTATTAGGACAATATCCAAC